ATATATATTTTATTATATTTCTTGAACAGTATTGTGTAGCATGCGGATGTTTAAACGAGCTTGTATAATTCATAAATAATTCATAATGAAAGGAAAATACAAAAGAAATGAGTTTTTAATGAATGTCTCTAAATCCCGATGTAGATCAACTGGGGTTGATGAATCATTGAGTAAATTATTCGCCTTATTAGTATGCTTAACTTTTGATTACAATGAGGTTCTTTGTATTTATTGTTCATTTCACAAGCACAATAAAATATTCGCATAAGATCTTTATGGGATTTACATTTTACATTTTCTTTGCACTTATTGTTCATTTTACAAGCACAATAAATTATTCCCATGAGATCTTTATGGGATTTACAATGGCTCGCTAAAGTGACTTGCCATTCTAAATGCCCATAAAGATCTCCCGCTCATATTTTATTTGCTACTTAAAGCTAGTTGTACTTACTGAAATTGTAGGACCAACTCCCAGCACTCTACTTCCCTGCGAGATTACCAAGGTTGTTTGTTTTAACCCAGATTTTCTTTGAGATACTTGTGGTACTTCTGAGGACTACGAGGGAAAGAGGTATACAACAGTTTTAAAAGAAGAGCATAATTTCCACTATCATATTCTCCATCTCCTCTCAATGATCCGTATTTTGTTGGAGGTCTTATTAGTTAGAATTACAGTAATGAATAGATATATATATATTTATTGTTGGTTGATTTCATGACAATAAAAACTCTCACCTGTTGGTCTTGGTGAGGATGGAAATCATCTGGTTTAAGTTGTACAAGTGGTAGCTGGTGGAAAAGAAGAACACATGCTAGTCAAATTAATGAACCTTAAAGTGCCCCTGCGATCAAATTTTATAATATTTTATTTCATTTTTCGAAACAAAACATTGTTATTATACACTGCAATTTTAAGCCAGTAAGTTGTTGACGCCACTTCCTGTGGCTTCTTTTGAAACTAGTGGAACATGCAAATGAAATGGTGGCTGCTAAAATGATAAATGTACAGTCAAAAATAACCGCCTTCCCGTGATCAGATTGAAAAACGGTTTGGACAGGTCAGTAAAATTATCACATTACTTTCTTTCAAAAAATGAAATAAAAATCAACTATAATATTTGATCTCAGGGGCACTTTAAGTTGCTTTACATGACCGAAGATTTCAACATCACCTGTTTTGTTGAAAGGAGTGGTAAGGTTTGTAAACAGTTTTTTAGATGAAACAATGTTTGGTACATAGTACATGTACCTGGTGTGTACATGTACACTGTGTATAGCACAGGGAATGAAAATTTCAAAAAGTTTAGGATTCGCAGAATCAATTATGACAAATCAAGTCTGCTTACCTGCTTTTTAGCAATTTGCAAGATGGTCATTATGTCCCCAATCGCGTTAATGCCTAACTCTTGCAACAACTCCTTTGTCAATTGGGAGAGGTGCTTTTGCTGCATCCTTTAAAAGAAATATCATAAGCTTAATAAAATACTTAAAACAAAAACAAAATTGTTTAAGCTAGCAATCCTGATCTCATTAGGTAAATTGGTGGTGAGGGCAACAATAACTATATAAAAATTCTCTTTATGTATTTTTTTAGATTATCGGTAAATTATAGATGACTGACATCATGAAGTACTATACCAAACTATCGTAAATTACTATTTTCCTTTGATAAATATGCATTCTTAATTTTCAGTAACAGAGAAATTAATAACTATCGCAGTCTGATTGAAATTAAAATATTCACACCTGAAAACTATTATTAACATTTATATTTACATCTATATTTAAGTTTGCATCAGGTAAATGCAGGGCTTCTGATCAAGTAGTCTCTTGCAAAAATATAGGGGAATTTGGAAGCAAATATTGGGCCACTATATATATTGGGCATGGGACGATAATTATAGGAAAAATATAGGACCTTTTATGCATTTACAACATATGGGTAGATATACAAGGCTTCGAGTGGTCTTAAACACTGTTTTCCTCGAAAAATATTATCCACATTTTTAAACTGCAAAGGGGCTAGCCCATCACTGCAGATGTGAACAAATGGCCGCTCGTTCCCCTCATAGCCATTCCTAAGCATCACTCAAGAATATTTTCAAGTTTTTAGGACATTTTTGCCCTCTGGTCTGACCGAAGGGAGCCTAAATATTTCATAAACACAGCTCACTGAACAAGCAAATCCCATTAAACACATACACAACTATTTGCCTATTTTTCTTAAATAAATCCAGCTAAAAATAAACATTGGTGTAGGCATTTATAAATGGCACTGTGAAACCATGAAAGCTTCAGCTTATTAAAGCTATATGAAATATTATCGAATATAAAAAATTTAGGAAATATAGCTCTAAATATTTATCGAAAAAACCGTACCTGTTTTCCTCAAACTTTTTCGCATATTTTTGCGAAAGGTCTTCTTCTAACCCTGCATTTAAAAAGAACTGTTTCCAATCCATGATCTACAGGGAAAAAACACATTCAAATCTTGTTAAATAATCGAGCAACTAGTTATAAACTTATTGAGGCTGACGAGTTTACATTCTCGAAATTCGCAAAATTTGTAAGAAGATAAACGTTTTTGAAGTGCCAGTCCTTAATAGCTTTTATACAAATTCTATCCTCATTCCTTTGTTCTGTCTTCCGACAATGGATGGCTCATTATTTATATCTAATTTGAATGATAATGGTATGACTTACCTCGAGGGCTAGAAGAACATCGAGCGAGCGAGGGGTAGTAATTGGTGAAAGACTGCCCAAAATGTCCCGGGCCACCGCCCATACTATAAGTACTGTAGTAAGACCTATGGTACCCGCAGGAGCTGTGTAGTACCTGTGGTAGCTGTAGTACCTGTAGTAGCTGTACTAGCTGTAGTAGCCCTGTAGTACCCGTAGTAGCTGTACTAGTAGATGTAGTACCTGTAGTGGCTGTAGTAGCTGTAGTAACCCTGTAGTACCTGTAGTACCTGTAGAACCTGTAGTAGCTGTAGTAGCTGTAGTACCTGTAGTAGCTGTAGTAGTAGTTGTAGCACCTGTAGTAGCCCTGTAGTACATATAGTACCTGTAATACCTGCAGTAGCTGTAGTAGCTGTGGTAGGTGTAGTACCTGTACTAGGTGTAGTACCTGTAGTAGCTGTAGTACCCATAGTACCTATAGTACCTGTAGTAGCTGTAGTAAATGTAGTACGTGTAGTAGCCGTAGTAGCTGTAGTACGTGTGGCAGCTGTGGTAGGTGTAGTAGCTGTGGTAGGTGTAGTACCTGTAGTAGGTGTAGTACCTGTAGTAGCCGTAGTACCTATAGTACCCATAGTAGCTGTAGTAGCTGTGGTGGCTGTAGTACGTATAGTAGCCGCAATAGCTGTAGTAGCTGTAGTAGCTGTAGTACCTATGGTACCTATGGTACCTATGGTACCTATCGTACCTATTGTAGCTGTAGTAGCTGTAGTAGCTGTAGTAGCTGTAGTAGCTGTAGTAGCTGTAGTAGCTGTAGTAGCTGTAGTAGCTGTAGTAGCTGTAGTAGCTGTAGTAGCTGTAGTAGCTGTAGTAGCTGTAGTAGCTGTAGTAGCTGTAGTACCTGTAGTAGCCGTAGTAGCTGTAGTAGCTGTAGTAGCTGTAGTAGCTGTAGTAGCTGTAGTGGCTGTGGTGGCTGTAGTGGCTGTAGTGGCTGTAGTAGCTGTAGTGGCTGTGGTGGCTGTGGTGCGTGTAGTAGCCGTGGTACCTGTAGTGGCTGTGGTACGTATGGTGCCTATGGTACCCTGTGGTGCCTGTGGTGGCTGTGGTACCTGTGGTGCCTGTGGTACCTGTAGTGGCTGTGGTGCCTGTGGTGCCTGTGGTGGCTGTAGTGGCTGTGGTGCCTGTGGTGCCTGTGGTGGCTGTGGTACCTGTGGTACCTGTGGTGGCTGTAGTGGCTGTGGTGGCTGTGGTGCGTGTGGTGGCCGTGGTACCTGTAGTGGCTGTGGAACGTATGGTTAACCTATAGTACCTGTGGTACCTGTAGTGGCTGTAGTAGCTGTGGTAGCTGTGGTGGCTGTGGTACCTGTGGTACCTGTGGTAGCTGTAGTAGTAGTTGTAGTACCTGTAGTAGCTGTAGTAGCTGTAGTAGCCCTGTAGTACCTGTAGTACCTGTAATACCTGTAGTAGCTGTAGTAGCTGTAGTAGCTGTAGTACGTGTAGTAGCTGTGGTAGGTGTAGTACCTGTACTAGGTGTAGTACCTGTAGTAGCTGTAGTAGCTGTAGTACCCATAGTACCTATAGTACCTGTAGTAACTGTAGTAGCTGTAGTAGCTGTAGTACATGTAGTACGTGTAGTAGCCGTAGTAGCTGTAGTACGTGTAGTAACTGTGGTAGGTGTAGTACCTGTATTAGGTGTAGTACCTGTAGTAGCCGTAGTACCTATAGTACCCATAGTAGCTGTAGTAGCTGTAGTAGCTGTAGTGGCTGTAGTACGTGTAGTAGCCGTAGTACCTGTAGTAGCTGTAGTACCTATGGTACCTATCGTACCTGTTGTAGCTGTAGTAGCTGTAGTAGCTATGGTACCTATACTACCTGTAGTACCTGTAGTAGCTGTAGTAGTAGTTGTAGCACCTGTAGTAGCCCTGTAGTACATATAGTACCTGTAATACCTGTAGTAGCTGTAGTAGCTGTGGTAGGTGTAGTACCTGTACTAGGTGTAGTACCTGTAGTAGCTGTGGTACCCCATGGTACCTGGGTACCTGTAGTGGCTGTGAGTAAATGTAGTACGTGTAGTAGCCGTAGTAGCTGTGGTACGTGTGGTGGCTGTGGTGGGTGTAGTGGCTGTGGTGGGTGTAGTGGCTGTGGTGGGTGTAGTAGCTGTGGTGGGTGTGGTACCTGTAGTGGGTGTGGTACCTGTGGTAGCCGTAGTACCTGTAGTAGCTGTGGTACCTATGGTACCCATAGTGGCTGTAGTAGCTGTAGTGGCTGTGGTGCGTATGGTAGCCGCAGTGGCTGTAGTGGCTGTAGTGGCTGTGGTGGCTGTGGTACCTATGGTACCTATGGTACCCTATGGTGCCTATCGTAGCCCTATTGTGGCTGTGGTGGCTGTAGTGGCTGTAGTGGCTGTGGTGCGTGTAGTGGTCGTGGTACCTGTAGTAGCTGTAGTGCCTGTGGTGCCTGTAGTAGCTGTGGTACCTATGGTACGTGTAGTGGCTGTAGTGGCTGTGGTACGTGTGGTAGCCGTGGTACCTGTAGTAGCTGTAGTACGTATGGTACCTATAGTACCTGTAGTACCTGTAGTAGCTGTAGTAGCTGTAGTAGCTGTAGTACCTGTAGTACCTGTAGTAGCTGTAGTACCTATAGTACGTGTAGTACCTGTAGTACCTGTAGTAGCTGTAGTAGCTGCAGTACTTGTAGTAGCTTTAGCAGCCGTAGTACCCGTAGTACCTGTAGTACCTATAGTACCTGTAGTAGCCGTAGTAGCTGTAGTAGCTGTAGTACCCGTAGTAGCTGTAGTACCTGTAGTAGCTGTAGTAGTTGTAGTACCTGTAGTAGCTGTAGTACCTGTAGTACCTGTAGTTCGTGTAGTAGCTGTAGTACCTGTAGTACCTGTAGTAGCTGTAGTAGCTGTAGTAGCTGTAGTACGTGTAGTAGCCTTAGTACCTGTAGTAGCTGTAGTACCTATAGTACCTATAGTACATGTAGTACCTATAGTACATGTAGTACCTATAGTACATGTAGTACCTGTAGTACCTGTAGTATGTGTAGTGGGTGTAGTAGCTGTAGTACCTATAGTACCTATAGTACATGTAGTACCTATAGTACATGTAGTACCTATAGTACATGTAGTACCTATAGTACATGTAGTACCTGTAGTACCTGTAGTATGTGTAGTGGGTGTAGTACCTGTAGTATCTGTAGTGTCTGTAGTAGCTGTAGTAGCTGTAGAACCTGTAGTAGTTGTAGTACCTGTAGTAGGTGTAGTAGGTGTAGTACCTGTAGCAGCTGTAGTAGCTGTAGTAGCTGTAGTATCTGTAGTAGGTGTAGTAGCTGTAGTAGCTGTAGTAGGTGTAGTACCTGTAGTCCCATTAGTATCTGTAGTACGTGTAGTAGGTGTAGTAGCTGTAGTAGGTTTAATAGGTGTAGTACCTGTAGTATCTGTAGCAGTTGTAGTAGCTGTGGTATCTGGAGTACCTGTAGCAGCCTTAGTAGGGGCGTCCAGTGGTGTAAGGAATTGTAAAGATTCCTTTCTACCTTCTAGCAAATTTTCCAAGCATTTAGATCGACTAGTCTCACTTTAGTCAATCGACCAAACTTGGATAATTATTCGGCGTAAGGCAGTGAAACCGAGTCCATACTCAAAGGGATTGATATAAACTAATGGGCGAGAGAATATATAGAATATAAACGTAAGTATGTGAGTCCTGAATGGAACCTTCTACAAAGTACAAAAGACGATTTGCACAAGCTTATGAAAGGAACGTCAAGGTTCACACTCATTTGATGAAGTTAGTGATATATAGTAATATTTTCTAGCTTTTATATTTTTTTACGCGTCCTATCTTGTTCTTACGACTGTGATGTCCCATGCTCAATTGCACAAAATTGACCCGGCGAGGCTACCAGGGGCACCCAAAGACAATTTTCTGCTAAATATCTGTTCGGAGAAGCAAATATTGCCAAGAATTTTCTTTTGCTTGAGGAAGACTAAAAATTCCTAGATGGACCTTTCATTCATTTGCAATTTTCGATGCTTTATACCTAATAAATTCCCTACCAATTCTGATTTTAAATGTTTCAAAATCAGTTCCCAGGTTACAATATTTTTGTTAAAAAATGGTCACCTAAAGTTTTTTTTGGATTCTAAAATGTGATGGGGAGAGGTAACCAGAAAAATACTCACTTGCGTAAATCGTTAAATTGCAACTAAAATTTTCGCAAAAGTAACACTGAAACCTTTGTAATTGTGAAAACTGACTTAAGTTCCTCTAGGATGACCGGTCAGACCGGGAGGGCTTTCCATAAGTTGCTCGAGATTTTCCAAAAAGTTTCACATTATTTCTCAAACAACTGCTCAAAAGTTGCCAAAAACAATCAAAAGTTGCTTATTGCAACAAAACTTACTCAAACGGTTGCTCAAAAACAAAATCTTTGTTTGGTCTGAAGTTATGAAAATATGCAAATTGTACAAACAAAAGTAAGATTTCTTAGAATTTTCGTGCAATTTTTTCAGCGCAACCAGCGTTGCTTAATAACTTTTTCCGGAGTTAAAATCACGAAGGAAATGTAATGAGCCAAAAACATTCCTTAATGACCTTCTTCACCCGAGACACTCGAGTCAGTCGAGTGAGAATCTGCGTCAATCATTTACAATGTTCTGTAAAAACCGCTGACTTATCTTGCGTCCTTCATGTGCCTCAGGGGAGGAGTATTTGTCTCCTTTTTTTACTGGTAATTCGCAAATTGTCTACAAAACATTGTGAAATATGGAACAAAGGCTAATTTAAATACTAAGAGCTGCTCCGATATCACAGAATTAGATGATAAAGTTCTAGAGAAATCTTAATCCAAAAGCCAATAGTTGCAATAAAGGAAAGAAGTTGTTCCAAATACGAGAAGTTGCCAAAAAGTTGCCTGCTTGTGGAAATCTCTAATGACCTAAACGATAACAATTTTGTAGTGCCGCTTAGAATGCATTTCTAGGGTGCAGAAAAGAAAACTCTGGACTGCGTAAAAAGTGTTTCCAACATACTTTAAAGGAGACAGTCTTTGGGTGCCCCTGAGGCTTTAACCCTTTACTATGTGCATCACGGCACTGTCAAGCGAGTCCGGAAACGTAGTTGGAAAACGATATATTCACCTTCCCCACCCTCTTCTCGCGACTTTAAGACGACCGAGTGTGACTGACTGGAAAAAGCCAACAGAGAGACTTTATTCAAATGTAAAAAACTTTTATTGCCACATTAATCGATAACAAGAGCTAATGATAACTAATGATCAGATACTTTTCTTAAAAATTGAAATTATTCTTATTGAAGTCTCTACCTAACTAATGGGAAACTCATAAGTTTCTCGAGCTAACCACTGCTCTATTTCGCAGAATCTTTTTTTTTCTTGTCTTTGCCATGCTATTACTCAAAACAATTCTTTCAACAATCTGTCATTTTAAGGCACATCAAGAATGTAAATCAAGACGAACATTCTAGAAATTAAAGAAATGTTTGCCAATAAAACATAACAAAGTTATCTATACAAACAATAAAAGAACTATGTAATAAGCCTAAAAACGTTAATGACGATAATAATACCTTTTCAATGAATTTATCTTTTTTTGTTCGCAGAATTGAATCTTGAAACAAATTTTGGTAAGGGTAAATTGAACAAAATTCTGTGTCCATCTACCCAACTCAACTACTCTTATATATAAATATACAGACTGAAAACTTTAAAATTTCCATTAACAGTGATTTTTTATGAGGCTACTTGAGCCTGTCACGATATAATCTATTGATTTTAAAATACTGAAGAGCTCTGGGAAGGTTTAGAATTTGAGCTCCGAAGTTTCATTTTCCCATCAGTTCTTTATTCATTTATTTATGTTTACAATAGTTCTAGGCGCATGAACGATTTTCAACGAGTTCTCTGCACTGATAGCTAGGCAACTATCCGCTCAAAGACTAAATATTAGGCTCAATTCACACCAAAACTTGAACAGTCCTTAGTACTACAGGTACTACAGCTACTACGGCTACTACAGGTACTATAGGTACTACAGGTACTATAAGTACTATAGGTACTACAGCTACGACAGGTACTACAGGTGCTATAGGTACTATAGGTACTACAGGTACTACAGGTACTACGGCTACTACACGTACTACAGGTACTACAGGTACTATAGGTACTATACGTACTATAGCTACTACAGGTACTACAGCCACTACAGCTACTACAGGTACTACAGGTACTATAGGGACTATAGCTACTACAGGTACTACAGCTACTACAGGTACAACAGGTACTACAGGTAGTATAGGTACCATAGCTACTACAGCTACTACAGCTACAACAGGTACTATAGGTACCATACGTACTACAGCTACTACAGGTACTACGGCTACTACACGTACTACAGCCACTACAGCTACTACAGCTACTATGGGTACTATAGGTACTACGGCTACTACAGGTACTACACCTACCACAGTTACTACACGTACTACAGCTACTACACGTACTACAGCTACTACGGCTACTACACGTACTACATGTACTACAGCTACTACAGCTACTACAGTTACTACAGGTACTATAGGTACTATGGGTACTACAGCTACTACAGGTACTACACCTAGTATAGGTACTACACCTATCACAGCTACTACACGTACTACAGCTACTACAGCTACTACAGGTATTACAGGTACTACAGGTACCACAGGGCTACTACAGCTACTACAGCTACTACAGGTACTACAACTACTACTACAGCTACTACAGGTACTACAGGTACTACAGCTACTACTGGTTCTACAGGTACTACAGGTACTACAGGGTTACTACAGCTACTACAGCCACTACAGGTACTACATCTACTAGTACAGCTACTATGGGTACTACAGGGCTACTACAGCTAGTACAGCTACTACAGGTACTACAGCTACCACAGGTACTACACAGCTCCTGCGGGTACCATAGGTCTTACTACAGTACTAATAGTATGGGCGGTGGCCCGGGACATTTTGGGCAGTCTTACACCAAGTACTACCCCGAGCGAGCTTGCTTGTCCTGTGGCGAAAACCGCTGAACGTTGAGACAGCAGATTACGTGCAAATCCCGTGGGTATGGCCCCGGGGTATTTTGCCAAAAACGCAAAAGCGCTCTAATGCCCCGCGTGCGGGGCATGCCTTTGCTACAAATCCCCTGCTAAGCCCGTGGGTTGCCCTTGGGTTGCCCGGGGGTCGACCCCTCGGGATGGCCGCTGATACCCGAGATAAAATAGTTCAATCAATTATTTTGAGACAGTTTTGATTTGTAGATTCCATCAATGACCTAACTATTCTTAACGGAGTGAACGCTACTGTTTTGTACAGGAAATCTGATGTCCAGAAGTCCTTCATGAGAAAACAATACTCTTGTTGGAGTGGCATGGCGTTTGTTAGTGATATAGGTTCATGTGGTTCCTCCTTCAGCGATCCTTGACCTCTCTTTTGATTCTCTTGGAAAGTCGACCGAACACAAGTCCGCCAACAAAAATAAGAGCTAAGCAAGTTGCAAAAATGACGAAGAAGTAGTTCTTGGAAGGGGAAGCGGAACAAATTTGTCCAAATTAATACTGGTAATAACAACGAGTAATCAGAGGAGCGATTCACAAATGAAACCTCTGAAACAGGATGACTGTAAACACAAGGAAGTTCTCTAAGCAACTGCCCACCTACCCCTCCCCTAACTCAACAACAGTCAATTGATAACAAGTTAGGGTTAATGTTCGGTTAGGGGAGAGGTAGGTGGGCAGTTGCCCAGATACTGATATTGATCCAGGAATTCTTAAGCATTTTTTTAAAAAGGACACCTTACAAATCTCTTTCCAGTATATTGGTCCTTTCAAAAATGAATCAAAAGAGAGAGGGATAAAAAATGGACATGTTTTAGCTAAACATCGAACAAATTGGGATTATAAAATGAATTGCATGTAAAGCAAAAGAATTACATGCAGTGTAAGATCAGCCAAGCAGGACTATCCTCATAGTTTGGTGAGTGCATATTCAGCGGAAGTTTCATCAGTTCGTACCCTAGCAGCTTCTTCCCACATCTTCATTCTGTTCGTCAAATGTGCCACGCATTCCTTGTCAAAGCGTGCCCGGTTTGAGCCGTGAGCCTCCAAGAGACACTTCATTACTGTATAAAAGACGAGAAAAAAAATCAGTTTAAAAGAGGGCCTTTTCACATGGTTAGTAGCTGTCATGTTAATGCGTCTGAGCAAAAGAAAACGAGGGAAAAAAGACAAGGCAAAAAGAGTTCATATCCCAGCGGGTCGGCTCAGCACATCAACATAAGAACTGTAATGTAATATGAAAGAGCTCTATATTGTACAACAAAGTAGTAAAGTTATAAGATAATAAATTTAGAAAATTTTTATCAAATCACTCGTATATTGAACGCGCTCTAACTGATCAAAATAATATAAATATTTTCTTATACCAGTAAACCCATCGCTACTTTCCAGTAAAAGTAATCCACGTTCCCTACCGCTCTGGCAGGGTATTGATTCACTTGAGAAGTTGTTTGTCGACATCTCTTACGACTCGCGTGAAACGTCACTCCGGTTAACCGATAGAAACAGCCGTCAACTTTTAAATTGAACAACAAAGTTTATTACACATTATTATACTGGTACCTATTCCTCGTCCAAATGGTAAATCTGAACAGTGACGTTTGACATCCATTGCACATGCCTTGAATAGCACAGGGTCAGATTGTATATCTGTGCGGCCTTCTCTCATCTTCCGAGCTATTTCCTGCAAAAAAAAAGCAACATGTGAAAAGGTAGTCATCAGAGACTTACTTTGATTTAACAAAGCATCTCGAGTGAGACTGCTGACTGTAGTTAACTCGAAAAGGAACGAAAGCTTTAGATGAGAAGTAAACCACCTAACTTTTCAACTCCGCCATTAAAAAAGTAAACATGAATATTTCATAGTGGCCACATTGTGGATTCTAGAGTGTAACCTAACCAGTAGTGAAGTATAACAATTCATATGCGTTGGAAATTCGACCAAGGATGCAACCATTTTGAATATTGCTTAGCAACCTGGCCGTTCACCTGTGAGGTGAGTCCGAATTTTCTTTGTACGAATCTCTTGGCGATCAGTTTACACAATAAGGTGCACGACAAAAATGCATTCTTAATTCATTAATTTTAGCGATAACAAATGAAACAATTGTTTTTGAAAATAGCTTTGTGGTATCGAATTGCGTGTGCGGCTAGGTAACTGAGTTGTTTGCTCACATATCCATAACTGTCCTCGAGCAAATTCAGCGCAAGAATTTTCTTACCCAAATGACTCACCCTGCCCTCCCTCCCTATTCACCACTCCATTCTACCTTGACAGACATACAGCTACTTACACAGAAAAGTTGCTGAAATTTATAAACGTGTATACTTTTTAATGGCGGAAATGAAGAAAAAAATACATGGCTTCAGCGCATCCATCTTCCAGGGAAGAGAAGATAAGAGGACAAAAAGACAGAGCAACGAGAAACTCAGTTACGCGTTTGTGCGAAGGGCCCCTCGAGGAAGAAAACAAACATACTAAACGTAGTCTAATGCAAAGACGGCCAAAAACAAAACAGGAAATAAAATACGAAAACAATCGAATCTCCAGCTGTGGCAAAAAGCCGTATATAGTCTCAGTAATCTTTAACCACTACATACCACTCGACATTCCTTTTTTACAACTGATCCTAAATGTTCTTTGAGGCAGTTTTCCACGTTAGACGGCGGAACACCACTACAAAACTTCTTAATCTAATAGGAGACAAATAAAATACATTTTCCCGGCTATTTTTCAACACAGAACACTATAATCATAGATCTAAATGCTCTTCTGCGATGAAGAGCAAAATGAACTTCAACCATAATTGATTAACCACAGACTCCCGAAGACTATCTATGAGAACGACGACTATTCTTAATAGGTAGTAGTCTTGACAAGTTTAACCAGTTCGAAGACCACTCTTAGATTTTAACGAACAAACTGTGACACTTCTCCGAGCAGTTCTCCATTTAACTTCCTGGCACTATTGGATAAGGGTTAGCTAAGCCAACCGACTCAACATTAGACATAAGTTGAACTTCAAAATCCTAGATTCAAGACAGATTCTAATGTGATTATTTTAACAAACTTTAGCCGTTGTTCAACAAAACTGCGTTCTAACCATCACCAATTTAGCAGAATCTTTTATCTGAACATATATTTTTGTAAACAGTGTCAAGAGGGCAGAAAACTGACAGTGGAGTGAACATTAATTTCATTAAATCGATCCACTTACAGGGAAAACCTAATGTCCACTGACTGTGGAACACCATGCTTTAATGTTAGACCACGAGCAAATAACCGACCCCTGAGGTTTTTCCTTTATATTCTCCATTTGAAGTCCTCGATTGTCACATACAAAACCTCCCTTCCCTTCGATTTCTATCCATTCATCTCCTTTGGTTTTATACCTGACTCTACCCCCTTCCCCATTATCCACTTCCAGCCTCTTCCTCCCCGAGTGTACCAGCCCAAAGAGGTCCTCACCCAACTATCTCACCCTCCCCTCCCTCCCTGTTCGTTACTCCAGCCCGCCTGGACATAGACATACAGCTACTCACATCAGCAGTACACTCTTTTGAGAGCTTTGGATACAATCTGTAGTCACGGGCTGCCTCACGCATCAGCCTGGTCATATAGTCCATGCACTCGTCAGACAACGACTAGGATGTCAATATTAATAAGAATTTATGAACTTGAGAGCAGACTGACACGGGGAAGGGGCAAAAAAAGCCCCAAGGAACATCCGTGTGATGATCAATTTTCATCACCTACGTCCACTCAGTATAAAAACAATTCTACTAAATTTGATTAAAATGGAGACCTTTTAGGTTCAGTTACAAAGGGAGGAAAAAACTAATTTGTCCAACAGTGGCTGGTAATCATGCGTAAGGAAAAAAACCTACTTGCTGATAGATCCGTTCAAGAGAAAACTAGACAGCCTGCGTCTAATGCAATAGAGTTTGAGGAACAGTGAAAACACTCGCCTCAAATGGACGCGAAAAAAATGTTCGTATAATTGGTCATGGTGATTAACTGTTGCTTGAAGCCCAACAGCTGATCTGCGTACCTTCAATATTTCTTTTCACACAAATCACATTTCTCTCGCTTTCGTTTGTTAAATGTTCTTAACAGCACACAATACTTGTCATCAACGTATCGAAACCCAATCTTTCCCAATAAAACAACTCACGTTTACCAGCGTGAAATTCATCTAAATGATTTCAATTCCAAAGTTTGGGTTTGTTTTCCTTTCCGAATATTGAACCTAACACTATGTTTAAAACACCTAACCACGAGGCCATCCCTAACACCAGGTTGACAATGAACAAACACCAAAAAACCAAACAAAACTGTCCCATAAAAATCGCCACTAACCTCGTATCTTTTCTTCAGGCATTCCACAATCTTCCCTTCACCACGAGGAATTTCCTTGCAAAATTTTCCGATGTCTAACTTGCAAAATTTGCCAAGCTGTGGATCGAGTCTCACATCTGAAAGAAAGAAGAGACAGAGCTCACGTTACTTCGCCGCGGTGCATCAAGGTTACAAAGTTTTTGTTACTTCTTTTCCCACTTTTCCTCAACCTTTTTTTCTTGTTTTCTGTATGTTTTCTTGTTTTCTTTTAGTTTCATTAGACGTGCTGATGCACAACAATTACTGAAATGTGGCTTTGAGTGTCCATCCAAAGCGCAAGCGAAATCAAGGAGCCGCGCGGAGTTTCACGAGTGCGAACGCGCGTTCGCTTCGTGCTTCCTCGCTTGACGAGCAATTTTGTTTTGACTGTCGAAAGTCTTGACTCACTTTGTTGTGTGATTGGTTCAAGAAACTCGCCCCACTAATGCAACCAATCAGATTTCAAATTAAAACCAATCGTGTCTTGCTCGCCCGCGTTCTCCCGCGCTATAACCCTTCAACTCCTAAGATCTGATAAGAATTCTCCTTACTGTCTGCCATAAAATTCTCATGATGCCAGTTTGGAAAATTTGGTATTAGATCAACTAATAATTCCCTAATTCATAATTTACTTTATTATCATCACTGATCTGCTTGAGATTGCATGGACATTTTGAGGAGAAATTCTGTCTTGATCACTCATGGAGTTAAAGTGTAAAGTTGTTTGCGAGTTTTTCCTTTGACTTCCCATTGACTGCTCGTGATATCTTCCTTCTATTGCAGTAGTAATTTCTTTGGTTTGAAAAGCGCTTTAAAAAACGCTTGTGGACAACTTAGTTTGATCATGGACGTAATTGTACTGTAGCATGTTCTTTACGTGCTCGCGTACAATTAAAGTTACGTGCAATGTGCCAGGATCTACAACGAAAAGGGACAATTAAACAGTAAAAACAAAAAACAAAATTCTATCCAGTTGCCGTAGCACTCGGACTCTCCTTTCAAATTTCCCCTCCGACAAGCTCGCATGACCACAATCGCTATAACCTTCCAACCATGTGCATCAAGAACACATGTTGCACTAAAAATAATTCACCTTTCGTTTGCCTTATCTGTCTTTTGGTGATCACATCCTGGCAGCTAAAACCAAATGGAAAAAGTTACGCTTAGTAAATAAATACACTTGCATTTAAGTAAGATAAGTATTCGTTAGTTTATAGGTGTAAGAAACCTCACTGACATTTATAAGAAAGAGATAAAAAACGAGAGTTGTGCGTTGTCACGAACTTTGCGGGCTCACGTTAGAAAATCCTGGCAACACTAAAACAGTGGCAGCAAAGTTTTCCATTTTGGGTGAGACTCACGCTAAACTGTTTAACTTTCTAGCTGATATTACGTATCGTCCCGTAACAGTTGTACAAGCAGTAAAAAGTGACTGTAAACTATCTACATGTAATTAAAGGATTTCCATTGCACTTTGGCATAACTAGAACTTGTGCTTATTATTCAAAACTGTACCCAAAATCGCAAATCACCAACGCAAATCTGTATTTAATTTTTCTATAAAGTTCACATTGTGATGTATTTATGAGCACACAAGAGGTGACTGTAGGGGTCAGCTACCAAACAAGTGAACAGCAAGGCGTTTAAAGTACCTGCGCTCCATTTCCGGTTCATTCTTGTCCTTTTTGAGGCAAGAAAATAACTCGGACGGTTGGACGTCATCGCAAAACAGCTGAAATAAATCACCGCAAACATTAAGGAGGCTGTAAATCCACAGTGCAGATTTCTTGAACTAACATGATCTAATAGTTGAAATTCGAATAAAACAACAGGGCTCAGTGCACTCATTGTTTAGGTACCTGACCATAAAGCTACAATCAGGGATGTTTTAAAGGGGCTTGATTGTTGCTGTGATAAACCTTCCAAGAGAGAACTAGGTTTTTTTTAGATAAAAGAAAAACATTGAACGAATAGCGTTGTGAAAATAAGGCATGGAAATTTTCTGAAAAAAAAAAGTATATATGTGAAGTAAAGCTTGTGATCGTTCCTCATCTTTTACAATGTTTATCCCAAAGGTCGAATTTAACAGCCGAGAATTCCCTTAGCAGTGAATACACAGGATTGAGAATTTCCAAGTGACTGACATGTCTCGTTTAGTTTCTAACTTCGATTACACACACATTACAACGACGCGCGTACTTTGATCATCTTCCGACACGTTTTTCTCAGTTTGTAGTCCAACTCGGGGTCTTCAAACTCTTCCTCCTGAATAGAAATTAAAAAAAAAAGAAATTTATTAAAGGTTTCAAAAAGTCCCAGAGCGCTCATCAATCGAACTTTGTAAAAATCACAATGGTCAATTAGAAGCAAAATAGAATCGGAGTACATGGATACTCAAAGAAAAACAAGCAAACCACCGCCAGAGAAGCAAGAAGGCGGGAGTGACTAAGTCGTTATTGCTTTCAGTTTTGCAATTTGTTGGTTGAAAAATTCTTGAAAATGCGAGCAAATGAGATAGCAATGATAGCAGTAGAAGGATAATAAAGGCACAATCAAAATTAGCTTAACCAACCAAACGGCTGATCGAAAGAAAAGTTTCATTTTTCAACGTTAAGATTAACAACTACTTGCCTCGCGCTTGAACACTGTCTCTCTACATTGGTCAGATAACTGTTCGCGGTTGTCTTTGAGGCACTCCAACATCTGTAAGAAGAACGTTGATCAATTAATGACTCTGTTATACCCCTTTTTTCTTTGCACTAGTCTATCAACTAAGAAATAGAACTAAAGAGTGATAATTTTGCCCTTTACTCATCCACATACACATAAATCAGCAATTCACTTTTCATGCAGAGTGGACAACAAAGTGTTCACAAAATCAAGCTCAGCATAATGCACGAAGATAAAATCTTAAATCACTGTGCAGAATAGAGCGCGATAAAAAGCAATTTCGTTCAATCCTTTGCATTTCCTCTCAACTGCAAGGCTGTTTCTCCAACCAGGGATATACTGAACATCTTGTAAAGCTGAATGAAAGCTTTTCCACAAAGACTAGTCTCATCATATCCCTTTCGTTTCCTCCAAGTAACTCAAGTCTCCTGGTTGTTCAACATCGCATCAACATCAACTTTAACTAAGAGAACACCAAGCTAAGAGCCTCTTTACAGGCTGGTATCTAACCAGGGGTAGATTCATGTGAAGGTTAACCCTCTCAAGTATCAATAATTTACCAACAACACTTATCTTTATGGATTTCGTTTTTGGTTTTGTTTGCATATGATGACGTAGATAATGATTTCATAAAAGATTTCCAATACCTCCCTACTGGTCCCGACAGGGGGAGGAAGGTTCATCCTCCTTTGCAGCCACCATTTGAGATTATGACTCAACATGCTCCCTCACTCTCTCGATGCATAGGGTGAGTTACGTGACAATTTTGTGCTTAAGACAGAGGAGTTTCAGCAAAACAGATTACCACTATATTTTAAGGCTTACCTTTGCTTGACCAAATGTAACTTGGTGACACAATTTTGCAATATCTGCCATGCACTTCACCATCATCACAGGATCAAATTCGACATTTTCCGACTGAAAAGGAAAAATATCGCTCGACTTAAAAAAAATAACTTGCTTACCCTTTTAAGCCTGGGACTGACCAGCATCTAATTTCTCCTTATCGCAACACTGCTAAATCATTAATTAGGATCATGAGAATTGAGGAAATGATCACCAACCCTAGAAGCTTTGATTGTTAATCGAATTCTCATCGTCAGTAACAAAAGAAATGTAGAGATGAGTATGGAGAATATTGAAACTGATATTGGGGTTTAAAGGGTTAACGAGAGGGAAAAGGTTGGAGGAGAGCTAAGGAGGGGTAGGTAGGTAGCTGCCCAGATACTGATGTTGATCCTATGAACTTACCTCAACCTCCTTCTCTATCTTCAAGTGTTTGCGACAAGTATCAGAGATGACATGTTCTTCTTCGCCAATAACAGCATCTCGGATCTTTTTACTCAAACAGACAACAAGGTCATGTCTGGAAAGAAAAATCGTTATCACACTTGAATCAAATGTAAAGGTCATGAGAAAAAAAGGAAATTATCACTAATTTGAGACGCTCCTGATTGTTACACAGATTCTCCTTGACAGTACAAAATGTACCATTATAGGAAATGTTAAGAGAGAGAAGTGGAGAATATGAATACCAATATTAGGATGTAAAGGGTTAGCCAATGCACTGTGCTGAATTCAGGGGACCCCCCTACGTTGACATTGACGTGTTGCTTGTTAATCACGTGACCACTTGATGTGGTTGTACTTGTTCGGAGTTATTTGGTGTGTATGTTCTCGTTGCGTTCATGGATCAAACTCTGAAATTCTAGTTTAAACTTGGTCGGATTCACTTTAGCCACTTGTTGTAAGTCGGAAAACGGAATAAATTCATTACATGTACAAAGCCAGTGAGGCATTGCATCTCTCATAAAAAAAGAACAACACCCCCAGAAATGAAATGAATAAATGTAGCGATATCGAATTTCACACGAGGCCACCTGTTCAATGAATACACAATACAGCTGTTTGTTCAACTTCAGTTTCCCCTTTCCTCTTTTAAATCAGTGCTTACTTGCTCTTTGCCTCCTTACAGTGTTTCCTTGCATCATCTTTGCAAGCTCTTTTGAATTCATGGGAAAAATGAAAGTCTTTCATTTCAACCTAAAAAATAATGAACAAATGAAAATAAATATAACAATAGCATATCAACTTCCTTCAGCTGGAATAAAAAGACAATTATCAAATAACAAACATCCTTGAAAGATTTCTCGTAATTCATTTTCTTGACAACGTTCCCTTCTCTGGCATGTCTAATAAACCTCACAATCAAATATGGTGCAAAAAAAGTGTGTTTTTAACCATTCACATGTTGCAATTTGGTTCAAAAGAATATTTTGGAGTATTTAATTTCATACATGTGAACCTTTTTCAGATTGCAATTGAAGGGCTACCTGGAAAAAAATTCTTAATGATTAATAATTATTCACTGAAATGGAAGTGAATAGTGGTGGATATTTCAGGTGCAGTGAAGCTGCAAGGTAAATATTCAAAACTTTTGCCAACACTGGGGTGAATAATTGTTTTAACATATACAACACAGATACCAAAAAATTTGGTTGTTTCTTCTGATATACAGAAATGTGGTTGGAAATTTAATTAGTGATGTGCCATTCAGTAGCATTGCCAGCCCAGAGGTGAATAGAACTTGCTATTTACTTTCAAACTAGCCATCAAGTGCGAAAAGCACAATTCACTTGTGTGGTATAATAAATATACTAACTTCTAATGGAGTGTTAGAGTGTTAGATTCTCCCCTTGGGAGGGGAAGCAGGTAGTGCATCAGAAGTCTCCTAAAGCTTTCTTCCCCACAAACCTCATTTTTACTCACCAGTTGCCAGTGGTTAATGGCTGTATAACACTTCTCATCCATTCCTTGATCATTTTTGTGTTCAACTAAACATGGTAGGACTCCTTCTGTGTTACCCTGGGTTACAATATCCTATTTGAACAAGACACAACAGTGATATTGACTCAGTTTATGATTCTAACTCAGGGGTAACAGCCATGAAATATGACACCAACAATCAAGAAGCAGTCATTAAATAAAACAAGTTTTTCTAAATTTAGGGGAATAGGTTAAGCCAGAAAACTTTATGCTGGTAGGTACACCATGTATAGGAATTACCTCTTAAAATATTACTAAAAACTAAACATAAAACTGTACTGGAAAACTTACTACCACCCACCTCACAAAACTTTGTCACCATTCCAGAGCAAGCACGCACTAGAACCCTGTCCAGCTTGTAGTCCTGTTATCAAGTACAAAAGCATTCTTCACATGATCAGCCAAAGGATCATTATTTCAGACTGCTTACCATTACAATCTTTGCCTCAACAAAGGATCTCTAATACACTGCTCTCAAAGTCACTTCAAAAAGGCCTAGTCTTATAAATAGAGTCCAGAGACATCTTACTCTTCTAAGCACTGCCCTGAAGAAAGTAAGCTTAAGACTACACTGGAATCTCATTTCTGTTTACTTCAAAATCCCTTCACCAAGACAACTTATTATTATCATTATCATTATCATTAATATTATTATTTATAGTCTAATGCAGTAGCTTGAGATAAAGATTAAAGAACAAGACACACCTCTCCCTCCTCCTCAGTAAAATCACTAATGGCTTTTTGGCAAGTGTCAGTGAGGTTGTCAAATTTCTCCTGCAAACACTCTATCTCCTATAAAACAAGATAAAGCATAAAATATATATGGGAGAATGAGTGAGCAATAGGGAACAAGGAAGAGTACATGAGATCAAATTGTTGAACCCAAAAGGATTCCAATCAGCTAAAACCAGACCCTATAAGTTAGCAGTATTACATAAACTAGAAGAATTCACCAGATAGTATTGTGAACAATGGTAAACTGTTTAAAACAGAATACTTATTCCCTTGCATGGACCTTCAATGGGTGCAGAAGGAGATGCACAACAAAGAAAATAGCTGAGGACAGTGAAGAGGAAGAGAGACAGAGCCTGAATATGGGAACACCTAGAAAAGGAGGTAGTCAACTGAGCCTGGAGGGATCTCTGGCAGAAGGATTCTCACTCCCATGGGAAGAGGAATAGCTACAGTTAGTAAGAAAATGGAGAAGAATAAAGAATAACTGACAGAGTTTTCATTTGGAGGGATATGTAACTTAGTAACCTTTACCTCTCCTTTTTCAACTTGATCACTGCACTGTTTTCCAAGATCCACCACATAAGCTCTTTGTATTTCAGGCATCAGATGTACATCCACAGCCCTTTGGTGCATGGCTCGTTCTACATGTGCAGCACATTTGGGGGAGACCTGAATAATGGAGAAATATTATTCTAGATATTTGAAACTATGCAACATCTGGCAGTAATATATAGCCCAACAACCCATGTATTTGTTGTCAGCATTTGAATAAACATTTATGTTGTGAAAACTGGCAACACTAAGACAAAAAATGTTGCAAAAAGTGCAAAACAATCTGGTATCACCATGCACTTCAAAGGTATCAACCAATCATAGTGTACCCTTTCCTTGAACCTATGTGATGATAACAACAATTACACATGCCATATTGTGTGTTGCCATTCTTGGTGTGTAGGTTTCTAAAATCAAGGTTGTACCTTTACGTCTGTATCCAGCACAATATGTCGATAAAGACATGACAAAATCAGGCTGACTGGATGCGAGTCTTGGTCCTCAAGGGAATCAGCACCACAGACTTTCTGGACATCACCCTGACATGCTTTCTGCATCACAGGATCAAGTCTGAAACAATCACAACCCAAAACTTGTAAACAAAATGCACAAAGGATACCAGACAAAATTCTGGTAAACAACAGATCAAATAGAACTAATCGTCAAAGTTAACATATTTCATTTTGGATAGGCCAAGTTACCCTTGAGAATCTCTTGTAATGGCTTCATGTTTCAAGAAAAAAAAGGTCTCTATGCAGTCGTTTATTTTCAATTGCCTTTAAGAATGTCTAAAAAATCTGAATCCCAGGGTCTGATACAATAAACCAAGAGTAAGCATTATAGTGCACATGTCATGTTAAAAATTACTCAGAATTAAAGTTTGCCCTTACTTGAAGTCTCTTGCAATGAAAAATTCCAGATGAAGCAGCTGTACCTCACATTCTGGTATCATGTTGTCTGTGTGAAGATTTTCCATCAGACAAGATAAAACCCTACAGATGGGAAAACAACTCACAAATTACTGATGAAAAATAATGAGTGGGATATAGTCTTGAAAACAGGGAAGGCTTGATGACCTTAAAAAAACCTAACACTGCTCTTCTTCTCAGCCTATCTGACCTCTTATTACCCAACTGCACAAAGTAGAGTACAAAAAACACACCAATAGAGTACAAAGTAACATCTGGAGAAACAACTAGCAAAGTAGAATTTTTTAAACAATGCTACTTGATTGTTGATGCTGCCTCACATGGAATAATAAACAGCTTCCAAAAAAATGCAAGAGAAAAGAAAATACATGTATGTATTCTAAGCTCACTATCCTGCTCATTTAGTAAGTTTAAGTGCCAGTCAGAGCAAATGAATTTTGCTCAAATTGAAAACATTACATTGGCTAAAGAAAGTCTTAAGAAAAGTTGCAAACCATATCATTAATCTGATTCAACATTAAAAACCAAAGGTGGCTTCCACTGATAAATCATGTTCTCCTGAGCCCAACACAGGTTATTTCTGCACATTGTGAGTTCTTGATGTGATAACAATGCTTTTGTTTTTATGACTCTCTGTTAAAGAGAGCTCTACACTTATAAAACTTGCATCAATACTCACATAACATCTCCTTCCTTTTTGCCCTTATCTTTACACACAGTCTGCACAACAGGTTCACATGCTTGGTACAAGGTATGATCAATGCGGTAATCACTTCCTGCACCAGTTTCCTCTAAAAGTTCCTCAACCTGTCATGCAACACAACTGATTGATAATCCTTTCTTAATTAATAATCAACAAATAATGCATGCAGTGCAAGTGCACTATTAATAAAATGCTTTTTAATTAAGTGAGTATGATGCCTCCAAAGCAGAAGGGGTACCAAATGAAATAAAAATTTAGCTTAGATTGTGAAAAAAAAAAAAAAGTTTTGTGAAAATCCTAGAGTCTTGTTCACATGCAACAACATCATATAGGACTAGTCATTCTTTTACCATGTGATTTAGCTGCCACTTTTGAAAGCCAAGTGAGTAAACTGTCAGGCTTAAATGTTACATTAGTTTTCTCCCTTCTTTTTTGGGAGCATATTAGTGACCAAGAGAGGATTTCTCCTCACAATATCAATACCATATCAACCAAATGAGTGATAAGAATCAAGAAAAATATCAATTTGGGGATAAGAAGTTGGTCCAATACAAGATTCTCTGAACTAACATCATTAGAATTTTATGGTTGAGAGTAAGGAGAATGACAAATTTGAAATAGGAGTTACTAGGGTTAAGGCCCTTTTTCAACTAACAAAATCTTCACCCCACTTCATGTACAGTTTGGTACTTACTGCTGCGAAGCATTGTGGTCTGATCTTACTATCATCCCCTTCATGTTCCTCTGCTAAGGCCATTAAGCAGTCAATTGTCTTTCCCTCCTTCACTGTTGCCTCTTTCTGACAGCTGTCTCTGATTTCCAGGTCACATTTAGCAACAATCTCAGGATTGAGGGAGTAATCTGTCATCAACTGTTGTCGCAGATCAAATAATTCTGCCTGGCATTTGCCACCCACTTTTTCATCTGCAATTCCAGTGTAAAATTATTCAGCAAATATAATATTTAGATAGGCTGAAATGTATTGACAGCAGGAGTAACAATCTCCTTGGCAACAAGGAAGTCATACTTTGATAAAATATCAACACATAATAATGCCAAATTTTTTTACCTGCTTAGTTTTATTCCTGTAAAGTCATAAACATTTAAAGAAATAAATAATTTACATAATCTATGTGGTAATCATTACCATTTTGTATAGCTTTCTCCAAACATATCAGAATGTTTGCCATGGCTCCATGTTTTGTACTTCCTCTTTCACATTCATATTTTTCCCTAAATTCTGTATAGTACTTCAAGCAATTCTTCATCAGTGGATAGTTGGCCTTCAAAGAAGAAAAAGATCCCTCTCATCAGTTATAATATTGCAACAGCAGAAACATATCTCTTACATACCAAGTTAGGGGTCGGTACTGTAAGTTACAGATCAATTTTTTTTCAGCAGATTTATTGCCCAAACACAAATTCTAAAGGGCTATGATTGCAAGCTTCAAGGCTGCAACTGGACGGGATTTCTTCTCTGCTCTTTCAAGTTTTACTCCTTTGCTTTGCTTTGGACTGCACAGTGCCCACCTCACTTTTAATATGAGCAGTTCATCTTCCACTCACTCTTCTTGCTTGCACACAGAATAATCTGACTTCTTAATCCTTTTCCCAAAACTCCAAGTAATTTAAACCAAAATAGACTTCCCTTCCTATAAATGTTTCAAATCTCCAAATAGTTTCACACAATTTCCTTTTCCCCTTAGATGAGAAAAATTAAGATTTTATGGCAGTGCTCCCACTAGGCAGTTAACACTAAAGGGTTGAATAAATTAGATTGGAAAAGCACTTCCCAAACTTGGAAATTACTGGTATGGATGTCTCACCTTAGCATCCTTAGCTTCTAACTTTTGTCTCTCTGTCAACTTATCTTTACACTATGGGATAAAAAATGAAAACAAATTAATGAACTTCAGGATGTGACACAAAATAATTTGAGGAAAGAAACTACCAAAACACTTATGAAGTTATTGCTTGAAAGTTACATCTGGACTCACTTAAATCAGAAGTGCAGTATCATGAAAGATTGAGAAAAATTTCTTAGGACCCTACACCGCAATGCAAGTAGTCCTGAAAAGGACTGGTTTTCATTTCTGTATCAGTGATTGCCACTTTCACATCCCACCAAGAATCTGGTAAATTAACTATGATGATCAGTTTCTTTCAGATTGTAAAAACATCAATCAATTTAAGCAACAACAATCCTTCTCTAAATTACTCAGATCCAAAGTCAGGTATTCTAGTTCCTTGGTGTAGCAGACCCTCAGCCCCCAGGGCAGCTAGCCTCCATTTGCAACTGGGGCATTAACTGATGGCAGCAATGTGACTGTGACTGTGCCTGGCTTACACAAAAAATACCTACTATCAGCACTATGTGCTCTTGTTAATATCACTTTGCCTTGTAACAACAAACCTTAGGTAGAACTACTAGCAAACACACCAGTTGGTAATGAGGTTATCTCATTGTTCAGAACACCACGTACCTCATCACTCATTTGTTCCTCTAACTTGTGTTTCTTCAAGCATTTGTACACTCTCCCCTCCCCTGATGGGACATCAACACAAAACCTCTCCCTGTCATCTTTACAGGCATAATATAAGGGTCGATCAAGATGGTAGTCATCTGAAGACAGTTCAGCAAGACGATAGATCTGCTTCTGACATGCTTGCGATAAGTCATCTTGGTGTTCTTCAAGACATTCTAACACATCATTTTGGGAGTGGATATCCTGAGACAAATATAAAGATAATTCCTTAAAAATTTTGAGTGATAAAGTTTTTTTTATCATTTTTTCAAAATAAATCTTTCTTTTTTTCAAAACTTTTCTGTAAAAAATTATTAACGCAGGTTGAGTTGGGCCTTCTTGTAACTGATGTGCCACTAGTGAGTGCCATCATTGCCATGTGTTCCTCAGAAAGAATTCCATTCTCAGCCAATCTCCTTGTCAAATGATTAACGGATAAATTACAAACCTCATCCTCTTGCTCTGATGGAATTCTGCCACACTTGTATTTGCTCACATCTGATGAACAATCCTCCAAAAAGTGGGAGATCAATCGGAAATCACTGAAGAAAATGGCCTGCATTTTAGTCATCATATGTTTGCAGGATGGAACTGTAAGATTCTGCCTGTTTTCCAACAAACACGCAACAATCTCTCCTGGTTTCTGACAGTCTTGGAACTGGAACATTTAATACGAACAAATTAGAGTTGTAGCACATGAAGTAATATAACATACAAGCATCAGTAAAAATAACTCTGGTAAAGGGTAAAAGCTCTCTACACATTTGTCCACAGATCATGTGGCAGATCACCAATTATCATGGTTTCATTAGTTTGATATGTGCTAATGAGAATTTCAAGCTGAAAAGCAAATTTTGCTTGACTTGTTTCCTATTTATTTTGAAAACCTTCAGAAACCTTTGGAAAGCCCTTATAGAAAACTTATTCTTTCCAACCTTCTTTGAATTTATTTTCATTTGTAACTTTTCTTTTAAAACAACCATAGTGATGAATGTGTCCTTGGAAAATGGACATTTGAGGAAAAAAATCAACAACTTGGAACACTATCAAAAATAACCACAAACTTAGTATCTTTATCAGGGTTGTTTACTTAACAGACAGATTCCATGTTGCCCTGCATCTGTCAGTAATTGATCACAGATGACATCGAGATATGGTACCAAAAAAAAAAGTAGCATGTGAGGAGCAGCCAAGTGTGTCACCAATGATCTTAACACATTTTGATAAGTTCTGTGATCTGTTACTGTGCAAACCATGGAAACATGGAATCTATTTGATGTTTATAAAATAATTTAGCAAAATATTTCAACAACAGTTTAAAGAAACACAATACTAGTGTTTTAAAGGAGCGTCCACTTGCAAACTGTTAGAAAATGGTAACAAACTGAATTTACCTTTTTCAAGTCCTCCACACAAAATCTAGTTTTCACTGTCTGTTCAAACTTTTCATCTTTAGAGAATTTTCTTTTAAATTCCCAAAGCATCTTCAAAAATAAATAAATGAAAAATTGTTTTAAAGAGCTGATTCATTTAGAACTACAGACAGACTTAAGACAACATTACAAACATTGCTGCTCTGCCAAAAAAGAGGAAGACTTATGTGGCAACAAGTTCTGTAAAGATCACATTTTGTTCTCTCCATGAGAACAATTGCATCCACTGTATATCTCACCAGTGTATACCTCCTTTTTCAACACGATTCAAACAATATGTAAAGTATTTTGTTGCAACTGAGTCGAATCAATTTATCTCAAACCTGCTTATGATCAGCAACAATAGTTAAGGCATGTGATAACTTTGCATCAACCAAGGTTTAAAGGCAGAGACCCACTAGAATTTAAAAAGCAACTGGTATTCAAGACAGCAGAAATTTACAGAGTACCTTTAGAAAGACATATCAATCAACTTACATGATGGCAATCGGAGGACAAGTCATCTTCCTACAGTGAACCAAAGATATATGTCACTAACATCCAAAATTACTCCTAAATGATCTAAAGTATTGCGTAGATTTAACTTTGTTGGATTCCTGATTTTACTTTTGATTTTGTTCCAAGTATGGAAATTAAATTAATTTATCACAACAATCATATTGATTTTAAAAAGTTCCCTACAAACGAAAAATTAAAAAAACTTACTAAATTATTTGGTTTTATCAACTAGGTGATATCGTTTATCATGTCATATCCTTTGACAAAGGGCTATGGCTTGAATACATCAGCTTTGGAGACACTAAATGGTGGCCAATTTATATTACTAACTCTTAAACAACCATGGTGACCAAGACAGAATTTATCCTTACAATATCTATACAATAACAACCAGATAAGTGATGAAAATAAAGAAAAAGATCAATTTGGAGATAATTAGTAGATCCAATACTAAATTCTCTGAATTGACATTATAAGAATTGTATGGTTGAAGGTAAGGAGAATTACAAATTGGATCTGGAGTTCAAGAGTTAAATCATTTGCTAAAACCAACTTATCTTGTAATACCCTGCACTGGCGCAGCAACACAGTCTCTTTAGAAGCCTACCACTTTTATTCATAAACAACTTAATTCAGTCGATCAACACTTCTGTTGCTTCCTCTATGATTTTTTTTAGGTTTTTCTTTCATTGCGCTTACAAGCCTCCTTCACCCACCCCTCCCCTCTATTACAGCCTAGGGTGAGTAAGAAAACCATACCATTGCTTTCTCCTGTAGACAAACCAGAAGACCAAAGTTGTTTCCCTTAGGAATTTGTGGACAAAGTCGGCTGATATCGTCAGCGCATGGTGACTCATCACCACCAATCTTCTGACTTCCTCCGACGAATCTAATTTTTCCATCTGGTCTTTTCTCTTCCCTTGATTTATCTAAAACAACAATTAAGGAGAATAGTTTTATTTGTTATTTTGGAATTCCACAATAGTTTGTTATATGGGATATATCAGTAACTGAGAAACACTTAAATGGGACATTGCCTAAAATTGCAAATTAACAACTCTGCTTACTTTTAAATTTAGTATCCAATTTTTTTTTCTGGGATTTAATTTTTTGCTAACAGAAGCTGCATGTAACAAACATGGGTAAATAGTTCAATGTCATTTAACATGTTTAAATCAATGTCAAAATAAGCATACAATTTTCATTAAAGGAAGCTGGAACTCACTAGATGCTTAAAATGTTCTCAAGCTTAAAATTTGTTGACACAGATAGGACAATGAGCAGGAATTGTTAGAAATTGTTTCAGAAACAAACATAACTGTTTTTTGTTAATGGAATTTTGAGCACACCTCTGTTGAATTGCAACATTTTGGGGTGTCATTTTTTTATTTTTTTTTTTCCCTCATTAACAAAGCTGCAAGTAAAAAAATCTTAAGAATGCTGTTTATGAGTATCAGCCACAATGAGAGATGTGGTACAAAATGGTGCCTGACAAGAAATTCAGTGATATGGAATGCTTGCAATTATTTTTTAGTTTTTTTTAACATTTTGTTCTCTGTTTGGATTTTGTCAGTAGAAGTAACCACCACATGTCAATCACTTCTAATGCTTCCTTCTTTGGGTTAGTGTAAAAAATATCTCTCATAGGGTTACCCATATCAGAAAACAACTCTGCAATTGTAGATAGATGCATTCTTGAAAGTGCAGTTACCCTATGACCGATCATTTTGCAGATCTTGTGTAAGTGCGTTTTGAAGGTTCAAAAGTTAAAAAGTTGTGGTAGGAAGATTTTGAACCATTTCAGGTTTTTTTTTTTTTTTTAGCTGGCTATTAAATAATGATTGTCTATAGATAGAGATGGGTAGGCAAGGGTATGGCTCAGGACCTCTGAAATTGTTTGATTGGTATTTGTGGTTTTTTTTTTTTCCTTAATCGTTTAATACCTGTAACTTCTACAGGATGTAAATTTCAAAAATTGGTACTATAACAAGTGAAAATCTAATGATTCCAAACCATTATAATATGAAAACCTGGTTGGTTTTTAGTTGTCATATGAATTCTAAGACAAATGTCTTTCAATACAAATTTGACATACATTTCAAACGTCTTATTGGTTTTCCAAAAAAAAAAAAGCAAGGTTGAAAACTGCTATTTCTATCAAAAAGGCACAGGTAGCATTAACTGATTGTTTTGTCGAAATCTGACAATAAAGGATTCAGAAAACTATTTGAACAACAGTCATTTAAAGAGTACTCAGCCGTTTCGATGCAAACTAAAAGGAAGCGCCTCGTCAATTTTAAAGACATCCTACCTAGAATTTGCGGGCTGAAAAATGAAATTAAAATCAAGCAAAAGTACGGACAAACTTGTAACGTATTAACTTGCCTTAGGATCTCTACAGCTAGTGGCCACAACACAAATTATACGATAAGAAGAATACGGTATACAAAAGTAGACAGAAAGCTCGAATGATATCGAAAGAGCAGGAAAATAAAACAAACCAGGAATCATGGAAACCCTTAATCGTAAATAAACTTAGAACACATGTAGAGCTTAAGAAGCGATTCACCATCCTGGAAACGAAATGCTAGCACAAGAAACAGCTGTTCGATAGTCATTCAAGCCTGTTCAATTTACAAAAAAAAAAGAATTATGTTATTATGTACATATAGATAGGCGGGCTGAAACTGTTAAAGAGAGAAAAAAAAGCGGTCTCCATGAATGGACATAACAGACTGAGAATGTCATGCCAGAAGAAGAGGTTCATGTTAACTGCTGGGTAGACTTCGAACCACGATCGCAGTCGACTCGAACAGCAAATATTACTTGTGATTTTGCCCGCTTTTCTCCCTATAGTCCGATGTAACAAAGAGAAAAAAAAATACCTACATTGAAAATAAAAGCAAATACTTCTAAACTTATGCTCAGGCGGATCAAATTAGACGGTATTAGTTCAATTTCGACATAAGAGGTCTTGTTTAACGATGTTCCACGACTCTATAAAAAATTTCAGACAAATCTCCTGAGCGGAAGATTTTAGGTACCTCTTTGGTCTACTTCATCGTCAGAGTTAGCCACAGGAGCATTGGATCGCTGGATATGCTTCTCAGGGGCTTTGGGCACTTGATTACCTGATGTTTGAATGAAAAATACAAATTGCCAGAATGATCAAAGTCCGCGTAACCAACAACAATACCAGCTCAAACCGTAATGTATGACCTGTGCAGCAGAACGCCTGTTGAATCAGCTCAACTTACTTTGTTCGTCTACTTCATTGTCATGCTCTTCCTTCCTTACAGAAGGATTATTTGAATCAATGATTTTATCAGATTGTTCGCGTTCTGGTGAGTCGGTATCAGGTAGAGAATAAGCCAAATGACATCCTAATAGAAGAATTATTCCCAAAGACACAGTCATCCGCACCGGCGCCATGATTGATTTCGGCATTGGCCGTCTCGAGTTGAAGACTGGAAACGAGGTAGTAAGCCAATCACGATACAATACGTCTTGTTATTTCACCGCTCTTTTCAAGGTAGATTCATCCGGTTTTTCACCGGAGATGATTGCGTGGCATCAGGATTCATAGATTCTACAAACTATACTTTGGTCGGGTGGTCTAGTTAATTCTACAAACTGTACTCTGGTCTATTTATTTTTGTCTAAGAGTACCCGTTTTTGCCCTCATGAACCACTCGAAAACCGGCACTTTCTTCAGGAGGTGCGATAATTAGCGTGTAATTTATTCGCCACGCTGGCAGTGGCACCAGCAACAAATCCAAATCGGGAAGATGACACACTTTAAATAAGTTTACGGCTTGCATAGTACTTCGGTGTCTAGTATATTTAAGTGCTGTGAATTATCTGTGAAAATAATTAACAAAACATCAACCTCGTTTCCTCAGCCACGCTTGATCTCCGAAGTCACTCAAATTATGTCACTGGAATGAACACGTAAACTTTTTAAAATTTCTTAAAACCGCCTATAAAAATCAACTCTTGGATCATTCCTTTAGTCAAATTCATGTGCTCAGCTGTGGACAAACGGTCAATTCACCAATCATTTATATAACGTGAACATCCAGTTCACGGCATGGCTTTATTTATCCAGGGTTCATCCTCTCCTCATTCTGATTACTCGAACCCTCTATTGACTCGAACCTCGCTTGAGCTCGAATCAAAATCGGGTCTCCCCCAAATTTCCAGCATACTTCTACTGTAATTTGACGTTTGCTGACGCGAACCCTCGACAACAAGGACTTATCGCCGATTCGAACCAGTCGAATGTCAATTCCTTAACAATTATCATCGCGGGTTTCTTGTCGATGTGTCAATAAGTGACAAATAAAGAAGAAAAGCTGAAAATTTTGTTAAATCAGCTGTGAATTTCCAATCGTGTTTTCTTTATTTGTTTTTTTTTTTTTCTGTTTGTTCCACGTTGCATTCAACGTGTCAATCCAATTACGTTTTGCTCCTTCACCAGCGCTCATTTAACGCACTACACTAAACTTCCGGTTACTCAATAATTTATTCCGTCAAAAGTGGTGATCGTGAGAAAAAAATCATAATAGTAACTTTCCCTTTTTCCTTCTCAACCTCCTTTACTGTAGGTGCAAATTGAAGATACATCCTCCATATCCTTAATCTTCAAAAATTTCTGCTTGAAAGATGAAGTTTGCGGATCTGAACTCAGAAAAGTGAGTTTTGTCATGCTATGCTCGGTGAGAAATTTTTGGCCTATATCTCAACCCATACTTCTCTAGGAAGTACGAGGTCTCCTTCAATTTGCTGCTTTATCGGTTATGAATTCTAATTAATGTTGTCGCACCCTGCGGTAGACACAATTTGCGTTTTGTTGCTAATTAGTCAATCATGCTATTTATGGTTTATCAAGAGTATTGGAAGTTTACTTATAGCTACTGAAAGCTAGTGAAGCAAGATAGCTTCTGATCATCACCAACCATTCCGCGGAAAGCTAAATAAATCAGATATGATAGTCTGGAATCTTGAGTGTCGTAGCTCGATAAAACAAATCACTAGCTTTGCTTTTCACCAGCAAATGAAGGACCCTGCAGTTTTTTTTTTTTACTACTTGTCTGACGATAAAACTCTTGCAATAACATGATCGCATACCACTGCTCAACTTGCTTCCTCTTCTTGCGTTGCCACTAATGACGAGGGAAAGGGGTGGGCGGGGAAGGTGTGAGCTAGTCGAGAACCCTCCAACCAAAAATTCCTAGATCCACTCCGATAGCTGAAGAAACCGTAAAGAAACCGTAAAGAAACGGACACCTCGTTACCAGGGTCATTCGTTTTATTCGATTGTATGTTAACAAGGTACAAGTAGGGTAACTGTTCGCTGAGCTAAGATGAATATGGCATAAAAATGACTGAAAACCATGGAAACAATTAAAAAGGAACACTCAGAGGAAAAAAATACAAAGGAAACGGAATTCGTAGCAGTAAACTTCAAAAGATCAGCGCGATTTTCGTCATGTTTATCTCGCTTTGTATGAGAACGTCAATCATAATGTTAAAAAAGTCATTTGTTAATATTTTTCGTGGTACTGTTATCCTGCCAGTTGAAGGTTGTTATCAGGCTACCTTAAAATATCAAGAGTTCATAAATGAAGAAGATAAACAGGTAAAGTAAGATACAGGAGACCTAGCCGATACTGGAAACATTACATGTTACTTGGTGGAAAAGAAATTTCACGCTTCCCTATTCTGCTTTGTAAAACACGCTTCTTTCGATACTACTGACCATAGCAGTGCGCAAGACGCTAGTGAATTATGTGATCTCGTCAGTAACTATGCCTTTAAGTTACTTTGCACCTTAGAGGCAGAGTAACCGATCAGTTGTGCGTTTGTGTGGCGTTCATTTAAACACAGGAACTCCGATCTTGTTGTTCCATCTTTCGTAGTATATTAAATTTTAAAAAGTCTATCTTACATTGCAGTTTTTTTTCTGATAATATAATTCGCATTAGTCGATAATTTCCTTTCCATCAATAGCGATGTCCTCGACACTCACAAGGCCTTCGGTGTCGTCGAAATCTCGATCGCAATAGAACTCGGCCCAAACCGGACAATGATCGGAGACGACACCATTCCAGCTCCACCGACCATCAGGTATGGAGGGGTGGGTGAGACGCTCCCTGATCACTCCTAAAAAGAACGCAAAAGAAAGACAGACCTAGATTGCTTCCGCCTTCACTAAAGACTACAGGTAATATCTCTCCATCACGAGTCATCGTGTAAGCTCTGTTTTTTTTTTTTTTCCGCTGATCTTTTCTTTCTCATGCAAAGGATTACTTTACGAAAGAAGGGGCTGACATTAGACTAACTCAAACAAAGGTCGATTCCAGAAGGCCTTTCGATTTTGTCGTGAAACTAATACCAAAGTAATTACAACGGACCAACCAGAAGAAAAAACAATTTCCAAAAGCCAACGAGAACTCAAAGTGAAAACAACCAAACTGCCACCTCTACTCTCTAGACGTAACAACAAATTTCTCAACAGTGACAAGCCGACAAAGAGATACATGAAATCGATTGTTAAGGATAATTTTCTCTCTAAACTTGGGAAACGAAAGGGTTAGACTGGTGTTCACATCGCAATATGACGACATTACCTGACTTCCCAGTAAAATGGTTTGATTTAGCATGCTTGCTGATCCAGATGTTATCATAATTCTTGGATCCTTCCATGTTTTTGGTGCTTATGTTGGTGAAAGTGGACGCTGAAATCAAATTAGCAAGCCCGCCTTCCCGCATGGCATCAAATTCTGCCAAAAAAGTAAGACTTACATATTAGTAAAATTCAACACGTTGACAGTGAGATCAGAGGAACCACACCAAGTTAACGAAAGAACTCTAGGTTACCGGGCATGTTCAGTAGCATATCACAGATGACGTCAAAACGAGTTAAGAACAAAAAAAGTGGCACGTGAGGCGCAGCAAATGGACAAAATACACGTTAACCCTTTGGCCCCTAAGAGTGACTAGCATCTAATTTCTCCTTAAAACATCACCCCTGAATCAAACATTAAGGTCATGAGAATGAATGAGATGATCACCAACTAAAGAAGCTCTTGATTATTGAACACATTCTCCTTATAAGAACCCTTGGAAATGTCTGGGGAGTAGTATGGAGAATATGCATACTGATGTTAAGAGGTAATCGGTTAAAGGAAACAGTTTAACATCAGAGACTAAATTAAACTTTTACCTTCCATATCTAGATCTGGTCCAAGGTTAAAATCTCCAAGAACCATCATGTCTTTCTCTCCTACAGATGACAGTGAGAAAGAAAACCTATTCGTTAATAGGACAATGACCACGCAGAAAAGTGATATTTTTGTTGAGGACATGGTAAACAAGGTAAAGTGTAACAATATTTTAACCAACGTCTCCCTTAATCTGAACGATAGTTCCCCCAAATCGCAACGTGTTTCTCTGCTAATTAGTCCAGAGAAAAGGACAGCATATCAAAACAATATACCCTTTGAGAAAGATGTTTTTCGTCTTATTACGAGCGTGGGACAAAGAAAAAATTCCTACGAGGAATCGAACCTCAGACGTTTGGGTTCTGCGCTACAATGCTCTACCACTGAGCCACAGAGACTTAAAGGTTCAATTCCTCATGGGTACTCACAGTTTTTTCTTTGTCCTGCACTCATGACAAGACGAAAAACATCTTTCTCTATTTCTCTACCGAGCTCAAAACTTACCATCTCCCTTATTCTATTTAAAAATATCCCCTTAACTACTGATAGAGTGCATTGCAATTGAGTTGCATGACACTAAAACCTGAGTAATCGCAACAGCAAATCAACAGAAAGGGAATATATCAAGAAGATGATAAGAATGTGTAGTGAAAAAAATCAGATTACTTAAAGCATGGAAAACACCATAGACCAAATTATGCTTTGTTTTTGTCTTGGATTTGATTTATTGGTACTGGGCACAAGTTTTCAGAACTAATCACATAGCAAAGTAAAGAAAAACCAAAGCAACTGTGGATTACTTTCAACAATCAAATGAAAATTGCTCAAATAGTTATTGTGAGAACTCTACACTGTCTATTTCACCATAAAAAAAAAAAAAAGGAAAATTCAAGAAACCATCACCTAAAAAAAAAGAAAGGGTTAAACTTGCTCTCAAATCTCAGAATATTAGATTGTGTTTAGCCACTCCCAACCCTCCAAAAATTATCTTTGTGGGGAGAAGACAGTTGTAGCCAGGTTACCAATGAACCAACTACATGTTCCTGGTGCTCAACAAGACAAAACAAAACCATTACCTGGGATATGAGATTGTAATGCTGTTATCAACGCAGGAACTCTAGCAAGTTCTTCCTACAATCAAATATCACAAGAACCAAAAATCACATGTTGATATCAGAATCACCGACCAATATTGATTGTTGTTAGCATTGTGAAATAAAC